AAAATACACTCCGCTGCTTGCAAGAGAATTGGAAGGTTTGGTTTCTCAGAGAAATGTTGAGGATAGAGACTGCCATGCGGAAGAGGTAAGTCGAACACAATAAAATCATCAGGATCTTTCCAAAAAAAAAAAAAAAAAAAAGTTCATCCGGAAATTTAACTGAAGTCATTGTCATCTCTGTTATATTGGCTGGCAACTACTATTCACCATCTTGATAAATATTCAAACCAATCCCTTGAGGTGTTGCTCTGATACATAAAATACTTCATAATAGATCCACAATTTAATGCCATATTCATACTAATATATAGTATAAATATAGGTAAAAGATTGAGATACATTTACAAGAGAATTATAATTGATGTATCATCACCAAGGAATCTCAACTAGAATACAAAAGAAAATAGTACAAATAATATTTTAAGGACATAATCTTACACGAGAGTGGTTTTCATAGGTCATTGATGCTGCAAACGAGGTAGTTGATAGCATAGACAGAGATGAGTTGGCCAAATATTTTGCACTGAAAAATGATCCTGAAGATGAAGACGTGGAGGTAAAAACACTTTTACTGCCATGGTTTTGATTCTTATAATTTGTTTGATTCTTGTAAAGCCGGAGTATGTAGGTTTTCTGTTGAGCTTCTTAAATTAATCGCCACTATCTTCTTTTCTCTCAATCACAGAAACTTAAGAAGAAGATGGAGATTACCCGGGATCAATTGGCAGAGGCACTATACCAAAAAGGACTTGCGTTGGCAGAATTGGAGTCTTTAAAGGTTTGAAATTTTGGTTACACAAGGTTCTTTTCATTATATCTTTGATTTGGAAACATGATCATTACATATGTTCTTTTTAGAATGAAAATTTAACTCAACCATTTATATAAAACCATGGCTGGATTAGATATTTCTGGACAATAAAACAATTCTATTTGTGACAGACCAAGGTTGAGACTGCTTCGACACTTGCTCCAAAAGACGCAATAGATGCTGGGAAATCTGAGGATTCTTTTGAAGAGAATTTCAAAGAACTGAAGAAATGGGTAGATGTCAAGACCTCTAAGTTCGGAACTCTTGCAGTGTTGCGCGAAAAACGCCGAGGAAGGCTAGGTGCAGCTCTGAAGGTATTTCCTCTCTAGCTATTTTCCATTTTCTATTTTTTCTTTTGGTTACTTCACATTTATATTATGCGGCTTTCCCTTTCGGGCTTCCCCTTATAAAGAATGTTTTGTCCTCCTCCCCATCTAATGTGGGGTGTCGCAAACGAGGACTCAACTATCTCTTATTTGGCTTTTGATCTTACTGAACTTTCACTCCTGTAAAAGCATGGTATTACTACCCTCAACTTCTCTCTGATTCAGACATGGTAGATACTTTCGTTCTAGCCTTGAGAAATTTATATCTCTCTTTATTTTAACTCGGTTTGAAATTTTTTATATGGTATTGTGTCATTCCACATTGCTAAATCCAAGGATTATTCCGGCCAAAGTACATTGAAAATTGTGTCCTTTCCATCAAACGCTTCTATAATTTCACCTTGTACAGACACATCCTATTTGATCTTGAGACAATTTGTGTGGACAGTTTTTTTGTGAGATCCCACGTCGGTTGAAGAACGAGTGCCAGTGAGGATACCAGACCCCAAAAGAGGGTGGATTGTGATATCCCACATCGGTTGGAAAGGGGAACGAAACATTTTTTATAAGGGTGTGAAAATCTCCCTCTAGCAGACTGCGTTTTAAAATCCTTGAGGGAAAGCCTGAAAGAGAAAGCCCAAATATGACAATATCTGCTAGCGGTAGGCTTGGGCTGTTACAAATGGTATCAAAGACAGATATCGGACGGTGTGCCAGCGAGGACGTTGAGCCCCAAAAGGAGGTGGACACCAGACGGTGTGCCAGCAAAAACGCTGGGCTCCGAAGGGAGGGTGAATTGTGAGATCCCACATCGGTTGGAGAGAGGAACGATTAATTCTTTATAAAGATGTGGAAACCTCTCCCTAACAAATGCATTTTAAAAACCTTGAGGGAAAGCTGGAATAGGAAAATCCCAATAGGACAACATCTACTAGCTAGCGGTGGGCTTGGATTATTACAATATCACGTTAACTTGTTTCCACTATTTACTTGCGATTCAGCTGAGATGGTCGAGTTTCTCTCTCTCTTTTCTCGGTCATGTTGTCCCCTTTTGAATAATAGGGTTCTTGAATTTCTAGTGATGTTAAATTTATTCATCTTTGTTATTACCACAGGTAGTTAATGATGTTATTGAAAACGATGGAGATACTCCGAAGAAGAAACTCTACGAACTGAAGCTGTCTTTGCTGGAGGAGATTGGTTGGTCTTATTTGGTATCATATGAAAAGCAATGGATGCATGTACGCTTTCCCACAGCCCTGCCTCTATTTTAAAAGTTTTCATCACCCAAATAAATTTATGGTATTTGATACCCCTCTTTTCTTGTATTGCTCTGCTGGTTGGGATGGGAAACTCTACGGTAAGAATAAACTCTCAGGGCTTTTTTTTTTTTTTTTTTACAAGTTTATGGTGGGGCCCCTTCTGTGAACAACTAATGGCATAAATATCCATTTTGAATATTCTTCATGAAATGGCATAAATGTTATATAAGATGTGTATCATATATACCATCATTTATTTCTGTATGAACTTTTGGAAGAGAAAAAAAATACATTGAAAAGGAAAAAAAACACACTTTTAATTTGTTTTGACTAGGGGTGTTCATTTGCTTCAATACCCAACCGACTTGAACTCTCTAACCCAAATCATAAAGGTTGTGTTGGGTTAGTTTATATTTCGGTTTGTGCTGGGTTGAATTTTTTAAAAATAAAAAAATTTGGTTCAGTTTGTGGATTGACAATATTTTTTGTCCAAAGAGGGTTATAACCCGACTTCATCATACTTTTAAAAAGATTGTTGTAAATGTTTTAGATTTGAACATTCATAAAAACAAACTTAGTTATTAGTATAATATATGTGAATAAGAGCCACTAATGTCAACAATTTGAAATGTCATTGAATGCATCTATTTTTATTCTAATATAACAGAAAAATTCCCTTTTATGGTTTGTAATAATAAAATAATTAATGTAGACGGGAATCTGACGGAGTCGAAATATTTAAGCCACAAAGCCGCCGTCCAATTTGGGTAATGGAAATCCAGTCACTAGAACTTTCAAAAAGACGAAAAAGTCCATTCAAAGCCAAATAATTAATTATTAATTAAATATATAATAATGTGTTCTTCCACTTTCCCATTATTCGTTGTATATTAAATATTGTTCAAATTATTAAAAAAACAAATAATAAGAGAAAAACTACTACGCCACAAGATTATAATAAGCCTTTAAATACTGATTCTCCTCTCCACGTTTATGTGTTCTATTATTTTTTTTTTTTTAAAAGAGAATAATATTCCTAAACTCAATATATTATTATTATTATTATTATTATTATTATTAAATAACTAAATTGAAAAACTATTAGTTATAGTTCAGAACCGTTGCCTTTAAAAAAATAAGTAAAAAACGATTAAATGATGTTTGGAAGGCATTTCTTTAAACCAAATCAAACCAACACTATCCGTTCACGGTCTTCTTCTTGTTCCCGAAACCATAAAGTCGAAATAGCTAACACACTTATTATTTTTTAGCTTTACACGTCACTCTTGCACCACGACCTTGCCTTTATTTGGAAAGAGTTGAACATTAAAAATACTCGGTTAGACACTTTATCGAGGCTAGACATCCATACATGCAATCAATGAGTAAAATGAAGGGACCAAGGGGTCGCTCATTCACGACCCACCACCATCTATCTCACCCTAACCCGTTCATTAATGATCAATTTTAGAAAAATAAGTGGGTCATTTATAACCGTTAAACTATACTATGATTGTACGTATGGTACACCAACAATCAAAAGTTTGTCATGTAGTGTGAATTTAGTGATTAATTATCTGATCATACAACGTATAGTTTAACAAAACTGTTATAAAAAATTCAGATCGAACTTAAAATTTTCAATATACCCGTTACATTTTTTTTTAAGTTACACCATTAAACTAATTATTTTTAACCCAAATTTATATGTTCTACAAAAAATCCACAATTTCGATCTCAATTATGTCCAACCCCATCTCACCTCACTAATATAGTGTTAATTTTTTATAAAAAAAAATATAAAAAAATGAGAAAAATCTCCCTAAGAAGTGAATTCTTGCAAATTTTACGCAAAAGAATTTCTGTCAATAAATTAAAGTTTTTATAAAAATAAAAAAATGAAATAAGCGATCGAGATAGAAACGAAAAGAATTTTGTCCTCGCCTCGTGGTCTTCCTTGACCCTATAATTATACAACTTCTTGGTGCAGCGCGTAGGCTTCCAAGGGTAAAACCGTCAATTCCTAATTTAGTATGGGATAAATTTATTTTTTTTTTCATTTTTATTTGGTTTGATTTATACACTTTTAAGATATGGAAATCGACATGATTGCTCCTTTGTCAATGAAGGAATGTAGGAACATCAACTACAACGAATCACTTCCTAATTTGTTAACCCGTCACATCATTGATTACTGAGTGAGTGGTTACTAACCTTTCGCCTTTGTTAAATTGCAAATTTGGTCCTTAAATTTTTAAATTTATCAAAAAAAAAAAAAAAAAATTTATTAATATTCTTCATTTTTTTAAAAAATTAAAAAAAAAATATCATTAAACTTTTTAAAAATTTAAAAAATACATTTAAATTAAAAGATATATTAAATATTTTTTTAAGACAAAAATTTAGTTTTTTTTTTTATTTTTAATTTTGCCAAGAAAGTAATTTCAAAAGAATGGCCAAGGCACCGCCTCAATTCCATCATCATGACGACCCAACCATATGCCGCCACGTGGAAGAATATTATAAGACGCCCGAATCGCCCCACTGTCACCATTTTTATATAACTGCCAAAAGTTCCTTTCTTCTTCATAATCACTTCTTCCCTCTCCCAATTTCATCATTTCTTATCTCTGCAACAAAATGGTGGTTCCAACTCTTACCGGTTTGTTGAAAACCGCCGCCGCCGATTTCCCTGACCGGAGAGCATTATCCGTTTCTGGACATTTCGATCTCTCCCACGCCCACCTCCAACGCCTCGTAGATTCCGCCGCCTCAAAACTCGCCGCCGGCGGTGTCAAACCAGGCGATGTCGTTGCCCTTGTTTTCCCAAACACCGTGGAGGTACTAATTTCAGATTAAATTTACCGGAATCCGTCAGTCACATTCATTTATTCTTTTTATTATTTGATTGTGCAGTTTGTGATTATGTTTTTGGCCGTGATTCGAGCACGAGCTACGGCGTCGCCGCTGAACGCCGCGTATACGGCGGAGGAGTTTGAATTTTACTTATCGGACTCCGATTCGAAACTTTTGGTAACCTCAATCGAAGGTAACGGCCACGCCGAAACGGCGGCGTCTAAGCTCAAGATTCAACACGTGACCGCTGCGCTCCCCGATGCGAGCGCCGAGTTGATTCTCTCCTTGACTCAGTCTAACTCGAACGGCTCGGTGTCTGACTCAGTTGGCGAAATCGTCAACGACGGATCCGACGTGGCGTTGTTCCTCCACACGTCAGGCACCACGAGCCGCCCCAAAGGCGTGCCGTTAACTCAGTTTAATCTCGCCTCTTCCGTTAACAACATTAAATCGGTTTACAAACTCACCGAGTCCGACTCGACCGTCATAGTCCTCCCTTTGTTCCACGTCCACGGTTTAATGGCCGGTTTACTCAGCTCCCTCGCCGCCGGAGCCGCCGTAACTTTACCGGCTGCTGGGAGATTCTCGGCGTCGACGTTCTGGCCGGACATGGTCCAATACAACGCCACCTGGTACACCGCCGTCCCTACAATCCACCAAATCATACTAGACCGGCACACGACAAAACCGGAAGCGGTTTACCCGAACATCCGGTTCATTAGGAGCTGCAGTGCATCGTTGGCTCCTGCTATCTTGAACCGGTTGGAAGAGGCGTTTGGGGCGCCGGTTCTGGAGGCGTACGCGATGACGGAGGCGTCACATCTGATGTCGTCGAACCCGTTGCCAGAAAACGGTCCACACAAGGCCGGGTCAGTAGGAAAACCGGTGGGTCAAGAAATGACGATACTGGATGAAAACGGCGTCGTTCAGGAGGCGAATATGAAAGGCGAAGTTTGTTTAAAGGGTCCAAATGTAACGAACGGTTATAAAGGCAACCCGGTAGCGAACGAGGAAGCGTTCCGGTACGGGTGGTTCCACACCGGCGATATTGGGTTCTTCGATTCCGATGGGTACTTGCATCTCGTCGGTCGGATCAAGGAGTTGATCAACCGTGGAGGTAAAAACACGTGGCCATGCCATCTAAATTTACAAATTTTTATTTACTTTAATCTGAGTCACCTTTAATTACTCTTTTATTTTCCGATTTCAGGTTTCAAAATATTCTCTTTTCATTATTAAATTATTTCAATCAATTTTATTTTTTATTTTTAAAAAATTGTCATAAATTAGGGGAAAAGATATCGCCAATTGAAGTGGACGCGGTGCTGTTGGCTCATCCGGACGTGGCTCAGGCTGTCTCATTTGGAGTTCCGGACCCCAAGTATGGGGAGGAGGTAATTCTTTATTTATTTATTTATTATATTATTATTATTTGAAAATACATATTTATTTTGTGGTCTTTTTTCTTTCTTTTTTTGTTTAATTTAAATACCTCCTTATTTAAAGAATTAAAAAAAAAAAAAAAGTTAAATACACTTTGTGTGTAATCCAAATATTATATTATATTATATTATATTATATTATATTATATATTTTATGTGTAATAAGTTAAATAAAAGTAATTAAAAATGGGTTTGTTACAGATAAACTGTGCGATAATTGGAAGGGAAGGATCAAAGATTGGAGAGGAAGATGTGTTGAGGTTTTGCAGAAACAACTTGGCTGCCTTCAAAGTCCCAAAGAAGGTCTTTTTCACGGATTCCCTGCCCAAGACTGCTTCCGGCAAAATACAACGCCGAATCGTAGCCGCCCATTTCCTTCACCAAAATTCCTAAGGACCAATCTCCACCGCTACTATTACAGACTTCTCAATTGTGTGGATACCACAATAATAATCTTATTTTCCTCCTGTATTCTTAAATTAACCTATTTTTAAAATCTCTCTTTTCCTCTTTCTATTTTTAATTTAATTTACTTTTTTTTTTAATATTAATTGGTTCGGTCGATTCCTTTTTTTTTTTTTTTTTTAAATATATACGATTAATATTGAAAAAAACCATTTATTTTAATTGAAAAATTTGATTTACTTTTTTTTAAAAAAATAACCAAATATTTAACTTTTTAAAAAATAAAAATAAAAATATATTAAATTCATAAATTTTAAAAATTGAATTCGAAAAATCCATAAACTTTTAGTTTTGTAACATGTCCTAAAATTTCCTTTGTTCGGTTAAATATAAATTTTAATTTATTTAATAAAACTTTAAACTTTTAATTAATGTTTAATAGGTATGAAACAACTTTAAAAAAAAGTTAATCAATTAGAACCCAAATTTAAATATTTAAAAAAATTTCAATTATAAAATTAAAAATTGAAAGATTTATAAATGAGTATAATAGAATATGAAGGGCTGAGATTGATTTAATTTATTTAGATTAATTCTAAAACGAATGACTTTATATTGAATTATATTCAATAATAATATAGAATATTTCAACATTATTGCAACTTTTTTTTCACTAATTCGTGTGTAATTACAAATTGAGTCTCGATCAATTTTTTAAAAACCGAAAAATTTAAGTTTGTTCATAAGTTAACATTTATTTTATCGGGTCAACCCAACCATCCCGAAAATAAGATTACAATCCAACCCAACTTACCCTACTTTTAAAATTATTATAAAAATTAAGAATATTTGACTTTTATAACCGACATTAGTAATGCATTCTTATTTATAAATATTTGATATTTAAGTTTTTTTAAAATAATTATATATATATAAAAAGAGTAACGTAATAACCCAATCCAACTTGATAATAGGGGTTAAACCTAACCGGGTTAAGCTGGGTTAGGTTGTGAACTTTATTCGAGTGGTTCTGGTTATCAATCCAACCCATCCAAAATTTCAAATTGGTTCAAAAGATTTTTTCAACCCAACCCACCTCAACTCGGGTACACGTCCAAAGATATTATTCTATTATTAATAATAAAGGGGTAAATGTGTTTTTTTGTTAATGGGTTAAAAAAAAAAAAAAAAAAAGGACACGTGGCAGTTATATTTAAAGAGATAAATATAGGATGAGCTATCTTAGAGAATTGTGAAGCCTTAAACTTCTCCAAGAATTAAGGATCTCTCTTCTCCCTTCTTTTTATCTCCTCTATTTCCCTCTCTTCCTTCTCCCCTTCCCCTCCCACACCCTTTCTTTCTCCTTCCTACTCATCAAACAAAAACATGGTATGTTCTTTCTCTCTTATCTTTCAACCATGTCTTCAATCCCGACCACCCGAAAAACGAGACGTTTTCACGTTTTATTCTTAAAGTATTGATAATAGGTTAAATCTACCGTGACCCATTTGCTTAAACTTCTGAGTCGATTAGTGATTTGACATGGTATTAGTGTTTATATTTGAATGTCTAGTAGTGTTATCTTATTTGTTTGATGTTGAGCTTAGGCGAACGCTGCATCTGGCATGGCTGTGAGAGATGAATGTAAATTGAAGTTTTTGGAGTTAAAAGCAAAGAGAAACTACAGATTCATCACTTTCAAGATTGAAGAACAAGAAGTGGTGATAGACAAATTGGGAAAACCAGACTCAACGTATGAGGATTTCACTGGATCTCTCCCTGCAGACGAGTGTCGCTATGCTGTCTTTGATTTCGATTTCATTACTGACGAGAATTGCCAGAAAAGCAAGATTTTTTTCATTGCATGGTATGTTACTAATATTTTCAATTCAACCCGAACATAACTTAATGGATAAGACATCAAACATTACTACTCAAAGAACCAACTTTGATATTTTGGACGAAGGTATATGTCTAACCCAGCTGAGTTATGTTTCGGTTGGCCACAAATAGTTGAACCTAACCCACATCCTTTTAGACGCTACCAATTCAAGATAAGACATCAAAATCACCAAGGTCGATGTGGTTCGATCTCCCACACCCAACAACAATTTGAAACAGGGCAGATTCAAATCAAGTATATATCTAAACGAGTCACAATGCTTGAACTTACCACAAATCGTTTAACCACGATATTCACTGATATACCTACGTTCGAGTTTTGTTGAATAGCTGTGTTTTCTTACTCGTTTTATTATGATATATATAATATGTTATCTAAATGATGGTACGTTGAGAAATAGGTCACCAGACATATCAAAGGTGAGAAGTAAAATGGTGTATGCAAGCTCCAAGGATAGATTCAAAAGAGAACTGGATGGTATTCAATTTGAGTTGCAAGCAACGGATCCAAGTGAGATGAGCTTTGACATTGTCAAGTCACGTGCATTTTAGATGCCACAATTTTTTTTTTTTTTTTCATCTATTTTATTTTATTTTTTTAATTCAAATGTGTACTCATAGAATTTCCCATTTTATTAATGTAATGGGAAATATTTAATTATATAACGTAGTGTTATGAAATAATACTCCATAAAATATGTTTTATTTCGAGCGAAATCGTTATGTTTTCGTCTTTAATGTTCGAGAATGATGTTTACTTACGTACTACTGTGAGCTACAGATTTTGTTATCTTTATTAACCATACTGAAAAATGCATCAGTAGGGGAGCGTTCCACTTTAGAGGGAAGCACCCACGCAAGCAATGGTGGACGAAGCGGAAGCGAGAATGTCAGAGTAACGCAAATATTGGTGAGAATCAATGTCCTAAAAACTTAAGGGTTCCTCCGCAAGGTTCGTCCACGGAGGATGAGTTAGGGCCTAAGATCAGGCCGAAAGGCGTAGTCAATGGACAACAGGTGGATATTTCTGTACTACCCCTTGTTGGTCCCAAGAGACAGGTAAAAAATATATTAAAAATAGATAAATTTTTCGAGAATCCGCCCATAAAAATAAATAGAAAATTTTAATGGAATGAACACTGAAATAGGAGGAAGATAGATATACTTAATGTTGTTATGGTTAGCCTCAAAAGCCTCTTTTAGGGAGAGGTTTTCACACAGTTTGTTCTCCTCTCCAACCAATTTGGGATCTCTTAATCCACTTTATTAGGGTTCAATGAACTTGTTGTCACACGGGTCGGAATTGGGCTGTTACAAATGGTATTAGAGTTAATCACCCAGACGGTCCAAAAAACTAATCAAAGTAAAGTTAACCCTCTCTATAAAATATGCGATGAACTTGAGCTATTACAACAATCTCACTATATCTTTTAACACTTTCTTTTTTAATAAAAGAAAATATGAAAATAGCTTTTTATTTAAATATTAGCATTGGCTGACAATCAGCTGCCCTCCACATGTAAGGCTTGCCACTTGTGTTTTCCACTTGTACTCCCCCACCTTCCGCAGCGGAGCCAACCTTCTTCCGCCGCTTCGGCGACAATGAAAGCTCCGGCGAGGATCGTTTCGACCTGACCCGAACCGGTTCGGGCTCGCCGGAGTTCACACGAAGGGGGAAATTGAGAAGAGCCCTTGACCCACGAATTCGGTAGGCTGCCCGATCATAAGCTAAAGCCGCATCCTCCGCCGTCTCATAAGTTCCAAGCCAAACTCTAGCGCCATTTTTCGCCGGGTCCCGAATCTCCGCCGCGAACTTCCCCCATGGTCGTTGCCGCACTCCTCTATAATGCTTCCCCCTCTCCAGTTTCACCACCAGGGGAAAACTCTCCGGAAGCTCCGACTTCACCGCCGAGAACCCAAAATCGAAACTTCCAACCGACGACGGATTGAGCGTCGGAACCCATCCAGAACCGACAGCTTCCCGGAGAACGTCGGCGAGCACCATATCTTCAGAATCGTCCACCTTGAGAGGCAAATTACCCCAATTTTCTTCAAGACATGGAATCAAGCTACTGAAAGTACCAGTCCGATCGCCGGGAACGACGGCAGCCTCCGGTTCGTCCAACAAGTGACGGCGAATTGGCTCAAGAAAACCAAAATCCGGCTCTGTTTTAGTGCTCCGGTTCATAATAAAATTTAGAGAGAAAAAGAGAAAAATATATGAGAAATTAATTGAAGTTTAATGAATTGGAGAGGTTTAATAATATAGGTGGAAGAGATTGATGCACGTGGGATTTGAAGGTTTGAAGTCAAAGAGCCTCCATCTGGTCGCCACGTCCCAAACCGCCACACGTGCGCCGCTACGCAGTCTTTTTGTCGGGCAATTATCCCCTAAGCCTGGAAAAATACAAATTGAATTTCGAATCCTATTAAATTAATCTCCTCATTTTGTATACACCAATTTAATAAATATATCTTCAAATTTTTGCTCTTTCTAAAAATATATATATATATATTTTTTATATATTTAAAAAAAAATCAAAACTACATTGGTTAATATTTTTATTTCAAAAATGTCCTTTAAAACTTTTAAATATATTTCTAAAGTATTATTAACTTAAACAAATTTCATTAATATTTTATATTTTAAATTTTAAAATTTTTTTAAATCAAATCGAAGAGAATTTTGACTTTACTAGTTGAAAATAAACGGAAAAAAATACTTAATTATATTGAATTGGATGATTTTGAAAGTAAAATATTAGTCAATTTTTTTTATTTTTAATCGAAAACATTTTACATACAAATCAAATACAAAACAAATTATGAAATTAAAGAGATAGTAATATATATATATATAAAAAAAAGAGAGAAAATAGGTTTTTGCACGTGTTTAAATAGGAAGGTGAGAGGGTTTTTCTTGGTTTGAAAATTATGTTGGATAATTTCAATGTAATATTTAAATAAATTAATAATTGCTTGCAAATTTTAAATTGTCTTGATAATTGGGAGATATTGAATAGAATGCCAAATAATTCATTTTAGTCTCTAGTTTTTTTTTTATTATTATTTTTATTTATATGTAATGTAACACAAGTTGAATTTACCAAGTTGCCCTTTTTAATAATATGGTCTTTAAAACCTATCCATATAATTCAATATAATTCAATTTAATTTATAGAAGATATAAAATTATTATTTTAATAGTTTTAAGGATTAAATTTATTGTGCAAATCAATCCAATTTACTAATTCCATTAATTTAATCGATTTTGATTTTCACCCTATAAAAAATAATTTAATTTAATTAAAATATATGGTTTATTAATTTTGATTAATGTTTATATATGGAAATTAGATGTTCAAATTCTCCTACAAGAATTTACCGAGGGGAAACAAAGCTGTCAAAATGACCCATTTGACCATCTTTTTCATTATATTTGGGAGATTTTTCTTTCCCATATTAGCTTGAATAAAATGTTTACTAAATTTTTAAATTTTTAATTTTGTGTTTAACAAATTAATTTTAAATATTTTTTTCTTCTAAATTAATATATATATATATATATATATATATATATATATATATATATATATATTCATCTTGGAAGAGTTATAAATAGGAGGCAGGAAAGGTGGCTAGAATTGGTGAAAGACTATGATGTAGATATCCAGTATCACCCTGGAAAAGTAAATGTGGTCACAAACGCTTTGAGTAGAAAGACGGCCCACTCGTCAGCCCTCGTTACAAGGGAAGTAAGGGTACAAAGAAAATTCGAACGAGCCAACATAGTTGTAGCGACTGAGAGAGTCATAGCACAACTGGCCCGACTTACAGTGCAACCTACACTTAGGCAGAGAATAATTACCTTCCAACAAGAGGATCCTAACCTATAGAAATTCCTAGGCCAGCTAGACGAAAGTACAATAGACGGATTCTCAAAGTTCTAGGCAAAGTAGGAATTTGGGTGGGGGAGGAAGATGAAGGACTCAAATATTTAAAAGTTTCCTAATTATTTAGTTTCTAATTTTGTTTTGTTCTCTATTTTCCTATCAATATTAAAAATAAAAAATAATAATAAAAAAAAGTAGTTTTTTTTAATTTAATTAAAAATTCAAGCGTTTCTTTAAAAAAAAAAAAAAAAAAAAATGTTATATATTAAAGAAGAAAAACAGACGGTTATGAAGGTTGAAGTGGGAAGGGAGCATGGTTTGGGGAAGTTGGTGAAATAAAGTCATAGAAATTTGGGCATTTTCTTCGTAACCTCCCTCCTCATTGATTGTGATCTGGAAACCCCAGATTGAATTCAGTCTGTTCTTACTTTTGAATTTAATTTTCATTTCTTTTGTCATAAACTTCAAGGAATCCGGATCGCTAAATTCTTTCTTCTCATTCACTCTCGATCAATTCTTCTCAATTTCTGTTCAATCCGTTCCACTTCGATGTTCTTAGGGTTTATCCATTGAATGTTAGTTCAATTTTCAAAATCGCTCTTCGTTTCTGCCAATTCTGGATTTGTAGTTCCGTCCAACAGGTTCTTGCGAAGACTGGGATCCTTCCGTCGGGAGCCAAATTGGCGCTCAAGGTTTTCTTTCTTCCCCAGCTCCGATTTCTTGTTTCCCTTGAAAATTCCCCCCAGATTTTCAGGTTTTTAGTTTTTGAGATTATCATTTATAGAAACCTAGTAAATCTGCAGCTGCTTCTCTTTTGAATTTTTAGGTCAATTGAAGGGTCTTTTGCGAAGATGATTAGTCTGTAATTTTTGAAGTATTTTCGAACCGGGCTGGCTATTACACACTATGCGTATCTTTCCACTGAGATCTAGCCCGGAAGACAAGGAGCAGGGCGGCACTCATGCTTTGCTATATCTTAATATCTACGATCTTACTCCCGTAAATCACTATCTCTATTGGATTGGGCTGGGAATCTTTCACTCGGGTATTGAGGGTATGTATATTTCATACTTCTTGCTATAGAACTGTTGTTGTGTGTGCTCATTGTAGATTTTTCTTCTTCTTTTCACTGGGAATTTCAGTTTACAATGGTGGTAATATATAAAGCATGGATAATGAAATGGTATATTTTAGTTGAGTTGGATTGGGAGTGAGCCAGGATTAGTCGAACTTGGATATTTTTTAGGGGCATGCCTTTGAGTTAACCCATTATTTAGACCATTAATAGTACAAGTATGCGATCCTGTGTTTAGTTTTTCTGACATCTATTGAACCTTCATGGAGGGCCATGGGCACTTATTTGCGAGAGATATTGAGTTTTTTCTTGAAATATATTAATGAATGATCATACGAAAGTGTTTTTTAGGTCGATTATGAATATGAAAGTTGTGCAAATGTAGGCGAGCATACGCATGCCATCACTTGACAGTGGTTATGTAGGAAATCAATCGACGACGTGTTCATGCTACTGTATTTTTCCTTGTATTGATATTTATATCTAATTAATCATTCATGCTTGGTCATTGTATCAGTCGTGGCATAACGAGGTTAGCTAGAAGCCATTTGAGTAACTACACCTTCTTCAAGTTTTGTTCATTTTA